TATAAACAAATGTCAATTCTTTATATAACAAAAAATTATTTATAAAATTTATATAAAAATTGATTTGTATGTGGAGTTAAAATTATTTACGTTTGCAGTAGTTTTTCTATTCGTTATTGTTATTACATTATATATATTTATTTAAAAATATTTTATCTTAAAAATTAATTATGCATAACAACTGTAGTTTAGAGGAATTGAAGTTGCGAATTGGGTTTCACATAATAAACTTAAGAGATCTTATCAAGATTTATCATAGACAAGTATATCTTTGCGGCAGTGTATGAAACATCAATATCTTTTCGAATTAAAGTTCGTTCTCTTGCTGCAAAATTGGAGATATTATTAATGTAAAAATAAATATACGTAAACAATTAATAATAGATATAATAAAAACAAGTTTAAAAGAATATATTATTCATTATAAACTTAAAAAAATAATATAAACATAAATCCAAAACAGCTTTTTTATCTAAACTATAATCGCTTTTTGACAGAGTTAGACAAGAACAATTAGTAATGAAAAAATTGCTAAAAATGAATTCCTTTCACTTATCCATTTAAATCTACCGATTTAAAACTTTTAGATTTCTATTTATAGAGATTTCTCATTAGTTATTGCTAATGCTCATCTTGCTATTTTGTTGCTATTTAGAAAGAATTTTGAAATTGTATTCGTGTCATAAAATCTGAAATACTCTAGAAATTTTTAAACATCTGACAGTCCATGAGACGTTGATAGGAGATAAACATTTAGTAAGGAAAAGAATCATTTTTAAAACTTTTCTTTTAATAAAATGTTCTTGTCACATTTTGCAAACAAAACATGTTTATAATTCAAAAGAAAAGCGTTTCTGAATTCACATATATATAGATTATTCTCATCTGTATAATGAATAGAATATATTTCTAAAGTTTGGCCATGTCTGAAACTTTTTATATTTATATCGATACTCGTTTGTATGCTTATAATATACTTATTTCTAATATGTCTCAAAAAATGTACCGACTTGAGATAAAAATATGCATATAATTTACTGTCTATATTTTACTTACGTATTGCAATGCATCGTCATTCCAATAAAGTCTGTTATCCCGATAACGGGTTTGCTGACGGTTATTATCTCTAAGGAGAGGATTTACCTCAACATGAGTGTCGAAAAAATGTCGATAACACCAGCTTAATAAGATTTGACCATATCTAGTTTTAAGACATCTGTTAGAATCAGAAATAGTAAAAGAATGTAAAAAATTGTTTCCAATAATGACAATACTTATAAAAAAATGAACGAAGCTCTTTTTATATTGCAGTTAATAATTATGACACTTAAAAAAATATAAAACTCAACATACTAAATTTATCTTAATCAAAATTTTTATGATAATACATGGTACTTATAAAATTTAAAATTGTTTTGATTTTGCTATCATCGACAAAATACAGATTTGTTGGTATTAATAGTTCAAACCAAAATGACTATTTTTCTTATGCTGCGCGCGCGCGCGAGCGCAAACACACACACAAACACACACACACACACACACACACACACACACACACACACATACCTGCACACACACACACACACACACACACACACACACACACACACACACACACACACACACACACACACACACACACACACACACACACACACACACACACACACACACACACACACACACACACACACACACACACACACACACACACACACACACACACACACACACACACACATACCTGCAATTATCATTGTTGTATTATATTATATTATAAAAAAAAAATTGTTATCGGCCCATTAATTTTTTTATGAAAATTATTTGTTAAATTAATTAGTTTATTAAGAAAAAAAACATACATATTTTTATAAACGCATTAGTAAAATATAGGTATACATGTAATAAAACATATTATTATATTTTCTGTAAACTAGAAATTTTGAATTTTGTACGTTCTTTAATATGTTATTATATGTATAATTCTTTTTTTATATTTACTGTGATAAATATTAGAAGAAAAACAGAAATGTAAAAAATAGACGTGCGCGCGCGCGTGCAAACAATCATTAATTTCCATTTTCTAAAACTCAAATTAAAAATGTTAAAAGTAACAAAATAAATCTATTAATAAATAAAATAAATCTATATAATATATTATTATAAGAATATAGGATTATATAGAATGTCCGGAGTCAATCGCATCATCCGTCGTGTGCAGGTAGAGCAGGTAAAAGTGAAGAGAAAATTTCTTTACCTTTTTGCGATTTTCACTATAATTAAATTATTGAGAAATTAATTTTAAAAAGTCGCCCAATGCACGCGAGTATTAGCGCGCGACCTGAAAGAACGACCCATTGTGTGTGTGTATGTGTGTGTGTGTGTGTGTGTGTGTGTGTGTGTGTGTGTGTGTGTGTGTGTGTGTGTGTGTGTGTGTGTGTGTGTGTGTGTGTGTGTGTGTGTGTGTGTGTGTGTGTGTGTGTGTGTGTGTGTGTGTGTGTGTGTGTGTGTGTGTGTGTGTGTGTGTGTGTGTGTGTGTGTGTGTGTGTGTGTGTGTGTGTGTGTGTGTGTGTGTGTGATATGTGATTATAATTATATACTTTACCAATATAAAAATATTAACTTGTTATTATTGTGAGTAAGTCAAATATTGAAAAATAGAAATATTTACATTGATTGACGCAGCAATCATATGTAAATTATATCACATTGCACTTTTTTCGGTTAAAATATTTACTTTTTTATTTAATTTGCTTTATATTCATCTCTCTACAAATGCGAAATATGAATACTAACGTAAAGCAATCCATATGCAAATGTTATAATTGCAAGCATATACATTATTCGTATATCATATGTCACCCGTTATTGGCATATTACATTGTATAATATCCGTTATTGCATTAATATTTACACTTACTCAACAGATTATCTAAATATTTGTTCAAATGATTTCAATTCTCTGGCACAATTCAATTAGTTTCATTTCTTTGAAA